CCCTTTCCCAACATCCCATTCACCACGAACGCGTGACGATCAAGTTCAAGGTGGCGAAACTCGCGCGATTCCACCTGAGAAGTCACACACTCCTGGGAGAAGCTTCCATCAAAGCCATTGGAAACAACGCGAAGAACGGGTTCGCGAGTGCACTACTCCACCGAAGCATGGAACGACAAGTGGAACGAACCAACTGGACTGCCCATGGCCGGGCATTTAGAAGCAGCCCCCTTGGCACACAACGTTGGTAACCAAACACGCCTCGGACACTGCGGGGTCGGATGGATGCAACTTCGAAGAAGTGGCAAGACCACAGCAACTGTCCGTGATGCGGCCTCGAAGATGAAGACACCCTCCACGTGCTATCTGTGACTCCACCACTGCTACAGCGAATGGAAGAAGCAAATGACGGAGCCGAACAAGTGGATGAAGAAGCGGCACACCCACCCCAGACTCCGACACAGATTCTCCTCCACCTCAACGGTGGCACCAAGGAGACACCACTCCCCCAACACCCGATTGCCGACCCCATCCGCCAAGCCATCGCCGACCAACAAACCTTGGCTGTGGAACTTGTTACTTGGCAGGGTCTCCAATCCTTCCAACACATCCAACACACCACCTGCAACGACTAAGAAGAAGGAGATGGCCTTGGCTTGGACCAGCGCCTTATCAAACAGATCTGGAGCTACACTTCAATCTTTGGACCAACCAAAAATCCTCATGGCAATACCCTAACTCCCACCCAACATATCCAACTGGACACTCTAAGCGCAACGGGTAGCCAAGGGCTCCACTCAGTGGAAGGACACTGAGAGGCCAGATCGTGTCTCCCAACCCCATCCTGAAATATCCCAAGACGACCACGAAGATGTAGCCACGGATACAATCTATAGCAGCACGCCAGCTATGATGATGGGATCCACTGCAGCTCAACTGTTCATTGGCAGAACTTCCCATTATAGGACACTTCGCCCTGCTGGAAGCTCTGATGCCAGTTATATAAGGAACCTGATGGATGAAATCAGAAAGCTTGGTGCCATGAACAGGATATGGTCTGACAATGCTAATGCTCAGTGCAATCAGAGGGTCAAGGATATCTACAGGACCTTTTGCATAGATGACTGGCACTCTGAGGCCTACAAGGGAAACCAAAACTTTGCTGAGCTGGGCTGGAGGGATACGAAAGCGAAGATTCAAATGGTACTGGACACCCGGGAGATCCCTCTGAGTGCTGGCTCCTGTGTGGACAATTCATGTCCGCCCTGCAAGAACCACCTTGCCCTGGAATGTCTTGGTTGGCGCACACCTTTTGATGGTTGTTCGTTTCACACCGGTATCTCAGCCCTTATTCAGTTTGAGTTCTAGACCTTATTACCAGAAGTACGGTGGCTCATTTCCAGAAGATTCCGTTGAGGCCATGGGTCGGTTTGTCGGTGTAGAGGAGGATGTGGGTCATGGATGACTTACAAGATATTGACGGAGTCAGGCAAGATCATATGCAGAGCTGTGGCCAGGACGGCAAGAAAGGGAGCAGAGTTCAGCAATTGGAAAGCGGATGAGCAGGCACCCAAGTTGGCACCTAAACCCAAGCCACTCCCAGAACAGAAGTCTCCAAGAGATGAAGCTGACCTTGTAGTCGGGGCCATCCTGGAGTCTGATGCGTTTGAGGATGGCATTGAGCTTGATGAGACAGCAGAGAATGGGGAGTTCTACAGCTCCATAAGGAAGGACATCAAGTCTAATCTCTGGGATAAGGATATTTTGAATAGTGGTAGCCTACCCACAGTGGACATCACCAGCCTTCTCAGTAGAACCTTCATTACCAATCCCAATGATGTGGGTGAGCAGTCCAGGGCTACAATTATCTCAGCTGAACCTACTGGGGAGACGAATGCTGATGGCTCTGAGGCAGTCTACAAATTTAGATGCAAACATGGAGATGAATTCTTTGAGGAAATCCTGGCCTATTCCAAGATGTTGGAGTGGTGTGACAGGGACCTAGCTAGACAAGGATGACATGTTCCGCATTGATGCTGTCATCAACCACCGTCCCTCCAAGACCAAGTCCAAGTACGAGGTGCTAGTTCAATGGGCTACGGGCGAGGCATCTTGGGAAGATATGGGGAGCATTTTCAATGATGACCCTGTATCAGTTTCCATCTACGCATTAAAGAACGACCTACTCAAGGTCGATGGGTGGAAACAGTGCAAACCGTACACCAAGAATGCCAAGGTGTTTGCACGCATGGTGCACCAAGCAAAGCTGAAAAGCTTCCGTACCAGACCCATTTACCAATACGGCTTCCAGGTCCCAAGGAACCACGCCGAAGCTGTTTTCATCGACGAGAAGAATGGCAACAGCAAATGGCAGGATGCAGAGAGACTGGAGATTGCCCAATTGATGGAATACGACACCTTCGAGTCACTGGGAAAGGGCACTCCAGTTCCAACAGGATACCAGAAGATACCATGTCACATGGTCTATGCCGTCAAACATGATGGGCGGCATAAGGCACGATTTGTGGCAGGAGGCCACAGGACAGAAACACCGGTAGATCCAACCTACTCAGGTGTCGTGTCCTTACAGGGCATCCGTCTGGTTACATTCCTGGCAGAACTCAACGACCTGGAACTTTGGGCCACAGACATTGGCAGTGCATACTTGGAAAGCTACACAACAGAAAAGGTATGCTTTATTGCTGGTGGGGAATTTGGAGATATGGCTGGTCATACCATGAAAATGATAAAAGCCCAATATGGTCTCAAATCATCAGGGAAATGCTGGCATGACAAACTCTTTGATGTACTCCATGGGTTTGGTTTCAGGCCTTCCAAGGCTGAACCCGACATCTGGATGCGGGACTGTGGTGACCATTATGAATACATCGGTTGTTATGTTGATGACTTGCTGATTGCCTCCAAGCAACCTCAGGTCATCATTGACTTGCTACAGGCTCCACCCCATAAGTTCAAACTCAAGGGAACCGGACCCATAACCTTCCATCTGGGTTGTGACTTTGTGAGGGACAGTAATGGCACCATGTCAATGACACAAAGAAATACATCAACCGTGTCAAGGCTCAGTATGTGGCCCTGTTTGGGGAGAATCCATCCATAAGGTCACCAGTCCAGTGAGAAGAAGACCACCCAGAGCTTGATACTTCCCCTTTGGACGATGATGGGATCTCAAAATACCAGTCCCTGATTGGAGCTTACAATGGGCAATCTCTTTTGGAAGGTTTGATATTGAGTCTCTGTCATGTCAATGTCATCCTTCAGGGTGGCACCCAGAGTGGGGCACTGGAAGAGATCAAGAGGATTGCTGGTTCTTGGTCAAGATGATAGTACAATCAGGCCGCAGAGAGCCGACTATTCCCAACTGGAACACCGTACCTATGACTGGACAGGACAGTCTATGGGGAGGCACAGGAGGAGCTCCCAAC